ACAGCACACATGGAAGCAAGGTGTCCCCAGATTCCTGTAATCTCTGCTGTGGCAACCCTGGACAGTTTGTTGCAGTGTTATCAGGCTCCTGAGAGAATAAGAGTCATGCTGGATTTTTTTTAGGCAGAAAGGTGGTGCAGCCCTTAACTGCATTAAGCCTGGTGGAAATAGTCCAAGATGAGATGAACTTACAGTCCTTGGCTTAAATTCAGGATACTGCTACGTGCTGTGAGACAATCCTACAGACCCTGTGTAGACAAGTGCTGCTTAAGAGTGTTTCATCAGGTATTTAATGGAGAAAGAGCCCTCAAGGTTTGTACATTTCTGAAAAAGCCAGATCCTGCCTTTAGTTGCAGTGGTGTAAATGGTGACTGAGAGCAGAAATTTCTCTCAAGTTGTATACAATTCAGGTACTGTCTACTAAGAGATGGTGAAAGGCAGGAGTTTTTTTAGTCGGCCATAGGAATAAACATGTGAAAGTTTAAATATATATATAGTAACGTAGGTATGTATACAAGTATTTGCTTTTCTTCTCTAAAAGAAGTGACAATTCTGCACTGCTCTTGAATGTCTCAAATACAGCAGAGACTATCGAGGTTTTTGTGAATGGGGTTATCTTTGCAAGGCGAAACAGAGACAGGATATTCAGGGGTATTGATTCTTCCTCATTAAGTTCTCTACACACAAAAAGTCGTTCACACTAAAAAGAAGAAATAAATGTAGCATCCAATGCTTAAAAATTAAATGGTTTGATTCTGTTATAATTACAGTCTAAAACAGCTCATTCCAAACAGAAGCTTTATCCAAGTAATTTCCAGTTGTGTGATATGACAGCAGGATAATTGATCTGTGCAACACACATCTATTGTTCTGGGCTTTTTCTCTTCTCTGTATCAGAGAAGTCCTGCTCCCAGCAGGACTTTGTCTTAGTGTGAGCCCAGGACTGGAGCTGTGGCAGTGATACTTCAGGAGGAGACCTTTGGGAAGTACTTGGATCAGAGCTTATGTACATCTGGTAGCTGGGTAAAATGAGACCAAATCTACAGAAAAGCTTAGAGAGAGGTTTTGTGTTTCCCACAGGCAAATCCAGCACAAGACTTGAGAGCAGTCCATGAAGAAAGATCTGCACCTCCTATGTCCTGTCTGACCCTTCAGAATTAAAGTCTGGGTGAAGACTTTATTTGGGCCTATAGAAATCAGGCCGTTGGGTTCTACATTGAGGACTGCACTGTGGTTCTTAAACCCAGCTGTTATTTAAGCAAGGACTGTGTGAACATGCAAGAAACAATCTGTGACACCTGAAATTACCCGTTTTAGAATTATCCTTACCAATAGAACGAAAGAAGACCAGCTGTTTTGAGATCAGAGAATAGTAAGAATGTTTGCTTACTGATGAGAAGTTCACTGACTTGTGAGAAGTAAAACATCTCAAAAACTATAACAAGTCCTTGTAAATGTATTTCTGAATTACAATTCTTATATTCCACAAAGCTGATGCTGAGGAATAGGAGAAACCATTTTGCTTAGAACAATGTAGAATCATCTGCAGTGGAGTGCAAATGGGATCAAACTGAGAGAAGAAGAAATTAGGCTGTGTGTCAGGCATTATGAACTAAGAGTTATTTGACTGTGAAAGAGCTTCCCAAGGGAAATAATACAAGCCACATTATTTGGGACACCTAAAATTAGACTTCAGAAAGCACTAAAAAAAGTGTACAACCTTGCTTTTGTAGGGAGGTGGACTAGAAAAGGCAGGGTTTGGGATTTTCTTCTTTTTTTGCAATAAATTCTGCAATTGTTGGGCCTGATTCTGTTCTGTGGTGTTTAAGTCAAGCTAAGATTTACATTGCTTCTAGTCTTAGCAAACTGAGGCTAAACACATAGGTTTCTCCCTTCCACCTATTGCCAACTTTTGAAACTATATCTTTTTATTTCTGTCCCTCAGGGATAGTTCAGATCCTGCTCTTCCAATTATAAATATGTATATTTAGAGCAGTGGAGAAAGAGCACATTGCCTTAAGGACCTTCTTTGGCATTTCCCTCTTGTCTGGCTCTTATCATACATTAGAACTGATCAATATGATATTCCTTTCTTGTTTTTAATTCAGAATTTATTTAGCTTATAATGTGCAAATCCATAACCTCAGCATGATCTAAAGTTATTGTGTGAAATTGCCAACAGAATGAGGGGAGAGGTAAATGAAATACATTCCTTTAACCAAGGAACAAAGGCCTCCAAGTAATGTGTGTTGATATACTGAAAGTGATGCAGTCTTCTCCATAATTTTCTTTCAATACAAACCACTTGAGATAGCAGCAGTAATACAAAAGAGGTTCTCATAGCCAATCCTACATATTAAAAATTGTAGATTGTGCAGTTATGACTAAATCCTAAGAGCCAGTTGTTTTGTCTTGTAAGTTAGCTTGAAGATGCCTGCCTTTATTGACATACAGTGTCTACTTCTGAGAGTGGCAGCACTCCTTTCAAAGCCCACTTGAACAAAGAGAGCCCTTATGTGGAAAATGGTTCTTCATTGTGTAGGCAATACCCTGTAACAGTTGTGGTATAAAAAGCGTGAATTTGCCTGTGTGCACAAAAGCATGCCAAGGTCAGGACATCAAGCCTCTGGATATGTGGTAAGAGACGAAAGAAGGCACATATGCAGAATTTTCTGAAAGACGGTTCATTTGTAGAGGATTTGAAACAGCATGGGAGGAAATCTCTACGATGTCTAGAGGATTTCATTCGAGGGCTGTTTTCTACTGCCCACTGAAATGCATTTTTTCCTGCTGTCACTGCACAGGAGGATTCAGGATATGGGAGTAGGATACATGATGAACACTTCCTCTGCACTGAATATTGGGTTGTAGATGGTCACACAGTTTCTAGTCCTGGAATTTAGGCTGCATCGTTTGGAGGAATGGGTGCTGGGGCAAGGAATGGTGGAGAGGCAGCTATAAAAGTCACCTGATGGCATTTCAGATTGTGACTTCTAAATACCAAGGTCTGATTCCCATTTCCTTTCTTTCACTGCTACTTGCCTCCAGTGTGCTTTACCTCCTGCTGCCATGCATGTGGTCTGCCACAGAAGCGTGGGTTGTATTTTTTTTTCTAATTTGACTAGGAGCATATTTCCCATTCTAAATCCTTAATGAAGACAAAAGGCCTGTATTGCAGGGTAGGAAGATACTAACCCAAAACATATTATTAGCTGGGAAGACTCATTCTCCTTATGTCTGTTTTTGAATGGTTTAACTGAGGAAAAGAGATATCTTCTGTTAATGGATTTTTGAATAGGGCAACAATGATGGTGGAACGGTGGGGACACTGTGATGCCAGCTTTCTTGGAATGTTTCCTTAAGCAGTTATTAAAGTGGTTGAAACCAATTCTGTTAAAGATCAGGGTGCTTTGATATGTTAGTCCCTTGCATAGCAATCTCTCAAGGGAGGAAGCGAGTGTTTCATAGACTCCACGTTTCATCTCCCACAAAGTATTTTACAAGATACAGCTGAAGGAAAATACTCAGGTATTATCTGGATGTTGTTCACATACACTAAGTAGGAAGTGAACATTTTAGCTTCATTGCCTCTTCCAAACTATCCCTCTAACAAAACAGCCAAGTATTCTCTTAAAGACTGCAACTTGCCTCATTTCTATGTTGTCTTCTCTGCTGAACTTTTCTAGATTTAACTTTTGTACCTCCTCCTTATACTGGTGATTCTGGATAAGCATGAAGTGCATGCTTTAAAAAATGAAGGGAGAAACGAGGCGAATAGGGCCTGGGAATTGTCCTTCCAACTTAACATCAATTTCTAGTAAAACATCAAAATGAGAAAAAAATTTTTTAAATCCTTGGAGAAGACAGGAAAATGAATTCTCATCTACGGAGATGCGTAAAGAGCAAATCGGTCAAACCAATGTAATTTCTTGCTAAAATAAAGCCCTGCAGAAAGGAAAGATATAGCAGATGTCATATTTTGCATTATTGTAGGGCTTTTGACACCGTTTCACATGACATTATGAAGAGTCTCAGAAGATAGTCATGACACAATGGATGTAAAACTATATGTAAAACCATATTCAAAGCATTTATCCAAGAGTTGCTAGCAAAAGAATTTACCAAGTATGGCTTGCAGAAAGCTCTCTTTGGCAGTGCCTAGGACTTTCACTTGCAACTTTATTGATGAAATACAGGAGTTGCTTGTTAACTTTACAGATGACTAAGAGGGAATACAGTCATGCCGAGGGCTGGGTTAGAGATGAATATCAGTGAGTGATGCGCTGTCATTCTGTAGGAGATTTAAAACAAAAAAAGCATATAGCTTTTTTATGAATATGTGTGTCTGTTTTGTCAGTGTATTACTAAAGAATTGTGAAAAGTTAACATCTAAAAATGGCAAGAAAAATATGGGTGATTTTAATATTCGAAATGTCTGGTCTTTACAAGCTATAATTTGGTAATGGAAGCTTTCATTTGTAGAATAATTTCTTCATTTATTATTCAATCATTGGGGGGAGTCCCTCTTTTTTTTTCTTTCTGTAAACACTGAGCAAGTCCACTGAACCTCATAAATTTCCTTACTCTGTTGTTAGAGCAGCAAACCTCTGGCATAAAAGTCAACAGAGTTTTTGTCCCTGCAGGAGTGTCTACATGAGGTCAGCTGTGATTTGTTCTCTGCGGAATTGCATTTCAGGGCCACGGGCTAGATTAAGGCAAGACATAATAGTTAAAGTTGGACAGGCTGGTATCTATGTGTTTGGTACTCATGGCACTTGTCCAGATCTATGAGCTTGCTCTTTAGATGAATGTTGTCATCAGAGAACTGTAATGAGGCTGTTCGTACTGTAGTTTTGGAAGCAGTGCAGTATAAAAGTCTTCAGTCTGCTGAGAGCTAGATATTTGGCCGATCTTAAGCTTGCAGTATATAAACACATTCCTCTTTGTTTTTTCTTTTTATTCTTCCCACTTTTCTTTCTCCTCCCTACCTTCTCCTCAAGGACATAGACTTTGGCTATATTTTTCATAGTCGTGTGAAGCTAGAAATCTGAACGGATGCCTGTGCCGCCACCGCCACCACCACCTCCTCCTCCACCACCTCTACCACCCTCTGGAGGGCCCCCTCCACCACCACCTTCTGGAGGGCCCCCTCCACCACCACCTTCTGGAGGGCCCCCTCCACCACCACCACTGGTAAGATTGACTTTTCATTTCCATTAGGAAAAGCTTAGCTATAGTAGCCAGCTCAGAGCCCACAGGATTTTGGCATGGATATTCACATCAAATACCTGGGGCAGATGTTTGTTTTGCTGGCATTTGTTCTTCATTACAGCAGTGGTCTCCAAAGTGATGTGTGTGAAATGACTCATTAATGTGCAGGAAGAAAACACTAGAACTTCTGTCATGCGTGTGTATGATTTATAAATAAATAAACATATGTATACTGGGGTGCATGCTCAAAATTTCTTTTACTGTTGGGGTGCAGGATCAAAACATTTGGAAACTATTGCATTATGTGAGAATATGGTGAGAATTTAACATTTATGAATACTTCTCCTGCCACAGGGAATTCATTTTTGTACTGGTAATGTGCAGGGTGGTAAGTATTAATTTTTTCATCCTCTTTCTTACAGTTCCTATTAAGACTCACAGTGTTCAGCTGTAGGTTTTGCTCTTTCTAGCACACGCTGTCTTCCTGGGGACACAGCACAATATGCTTTTGTACATGTGCAGGAACAATTACCGCTTGTAACAGATCATTACTGTGTGTGTCATGAAGTAGAACATGTGCCTTGCCAACATGTTTGCAATAAGACGAGGATGCTCTGAGTGGACTTTCAGAGTACTACGTTTTCATACCTTCACAATCAAATATTGTACCTATGGTAAAACACGTTTAAGTAATTTCTTTTATTCTGCAATCAATTGGTCATAGCCTGTTTCTGCTTTGAAACTCTTAAGACTGTTTTTGAAACAGTAAAACCTGGCATGGTTGTGTTCAAGTCATAAAATCTTTCCTGACTATTTTTCTGTCAGTGCTGTACTTATTTGCAGGGTATGGTAGTCCCTGTAGTAAAACAGTACATGGTACTTCAACTGTAATTCTAACTTTTTTTTTTTAAGAACTTAATTTCTCTGTTGCATTCCCTGGCATCTCTGCCTGTTTTGTTCCCAGGAAGGTCTGTTGATTTTGTTTGATAATGTTCAAATGCTCTCATGTCATCTTTTTTTCCAGAAGGAGGTTTCCTTGCATGTTGCTCTCTGCTACTTTATAGGCTGAACCATTTTGTAAAACTCTCCATGAGTTGTGGAGATGAAGAAGAGGAATATAAAGACAGCAAATGAAATAAGCAGTGTTTGATTCTTTCTAGTGTTCAGTTTTAACTTTGGCACCATGAGCACTGTTTTCAATTAGCAATTCTTCTGGCCAGGTACACAACCTATAGTTAAATGCTGAAATAAGTGGGCTGCATATTGTGAACAGCTTAATGTTCACAGCTGCAATTAAAGTCAACAGAAGCTGCAAATGTCCTTATCCTAAAAAACTGAACTTCTTAAAATATCTAGAGACATTTTTAGACTCCTCTAACATATACCAATTGTGAATGACTTGGGAAAGCTAAGAGGACTCCTAAGGACCACTATGAACAAGTTTGGAGTTTTTTGTTTCTCCTCCTTTTCTGATGACTAAAACCACTACCATGATAGGGTTTTGGTACAAGAAGGCTTGCTTTCATGTGTTAGTTAGATCATTCCGTTTCAAGTGGGGTGATCTGTGCATAAAATATAGAAAATTTAGAGTCAGTTTTATCTTGGTGATACAATACAAACTAAACGCATTTCTAAGTAATGTCTGATATTAAAATAATCTAAATAAATCTAAATAATGTCTGATATTTTAGTAAGTGTTAATACTAAAAAGAGCACATGAACCAACGTAAATAATTAGTAAAGTAACATGGCAGAACATTGTTTTTTCTGTAACAGTAAAATGACCTTTCCCTGTCAAAACTGAATGAGAGACAGGATCTGAAATGCCTGGTGAGTTCAGCAAAAGCAGTGTGTCAGCTCTCCAGCTGGTGCCAAGTTACGGAGTAAAATCTTACAGTTGGGGAGTCCACGAACACTTGCTACAGACCCTATTTTCTTTTACTAGAAAGCTCTTTTCTAGAAATTGGCATCTGTATTTTACAGTTGCTAAGCTGCCCAGCTGTTGTTACAGCTGTTAAATTTACCTTTGGGAGATGAAAGAAGGAAAAATTTTAACAGGCGTGTAGCTTTAAGGAAAACCTTCAAACCAAGTAAGTATTGTTTGGCCAGCAGCTGGAAAAGTTCCAAAGTAAACAGCACTGTGATTTTTATTATACTGGTATAATTAAACCAGAGTAACATTTACATGTTAGCAATTAAAAGTTAGGTTTTAATTTCGCTTTTGATATGCGAGTGAGCCACTAGTTTAACTTACTTGATTTATGTTAAAAGAAAAATGTCTATGTATAGGGTGGAGTTTTAGAATTCTGTTGTTTTGCATGGTGCCCTTGCAGGGGTACCATAGACTTGTCTTGCTTTTCTGATTATGGATAATAATCATACTTTCCTCTTGCTTTCATTATCAAGAGATTTTTAGAAGATGTAGTTCCCACATTCTGTTTTTCTCTGCACATTTTCTTTGTGAATATTGTGAGCCATGATCCCAAATAATTTTGCAGTCTTTGCTTTGTGGAAATTCTAAGCGCTGTTGGCACTTAACTTTTTTTGTTCTGTTAACTACTTCTTAAGGTAGAATAAAGTTAGGTTCTTTCGTACTGTTTTCTAAGATTTTTTGGACTTGCTGATATTCTGTAAGCACTTGTACTGAATTCTGCTCTCAAAAGTTGTCGCAAGGCAATACTAAAGTGAATTGGAGATGGTATTTAAGACATGCTAGGAGCCACCTGTGCCCAACAGCTGAAAAGCTACAGGCTGTTAGAGCAAACTTAGAAGCAAATAAAGTGGATTTCACAGGAGGGAATACTAGGGTATCTGCCGTAGCAGATGTAGGTGGCTGAGTCAAAATGTAAATATAGCTAATTGGATTAATTGAGCATGTCTTCAAATGCCTGCCTTCAGGGGGTCATAGATAAAGATGAGAGAGATGAGTAGGCAGAATAAAACTGTGCCCCAGTGTGTTTTCTGGCACTGGCTTACAGAATTCAGATCTGTTCTTGTTCGCTTTTCCCCTCTACCTTAATAAAGGAAACTTGGAAATGAGGCATTAATGTATTTGTTCAAAAGCTGTTTCAATTTATGGACATGTGTGTGTCATGTAAGGTGAGTTTTTTAATAGGGTTTTTTAGTTGTTCTGGGGGAAGAGGGTGGTGTATTTAGAGTTTTTTAAAGCTTTCTGCTAATGAAAAACTTCTTTTTATTCCCCCTCTGTTTCTTTTAACACTCTTGTCTTTTAGTTTGGCATGTGGCATCCTGGTTAGTTTTGGTTTGTCATACTTTCTGGAGGAGGTGCCATCACTGAGACTGATTAAAAATTTTCTTTGCCTAATTTCCCAAGAAAACCATCAAGAGACAATTTTGCTTTGATAAACCATGTTCACTTTTCATGTGCAGTGAAGGCTGCTCACTGCCATGTAGCCTGCATATATATGAATTCCTAATGCTAAAATCAGTCATCACCTATTAAAATGTTAATGCTGAAGGAAGCGGGAATGTGTAGCAGCCCTGCTGGATTGTGCCTTATTCAGAGAAGATGTTTGTTTAATGATTCATATGTTTGTGGAGTTTAAAAAAATACTTCTGTTCTCTTTAGAATTGTTATTATTAAAGTCTTAGCATAGAAATTAAACCCCAAAATCACAATGGATCAGATGGTTAAAGCCAATAAAGTGGCACCAGGTGTTTATTTGCTGCCTTATGGTATATTGAAAACTAGTATAGCAGGAGAAGAAAGGAATATGCTTACTTTGGTGATAGAAATGTGAAACTCGAAATAATGATGAATGCTAGACTGGCATGTAGATTATTCTTAATGATTACCTGATTATTATTTAGTTAAAATTAAAAAAAAAAATGACTTACTGTTGTCAGTGTTTACGAACTTTGTTATTCTGATCTTATTTTCTACTCTTGTAATATGAAATTCAGAAAAGCAATTCATCATGATATAACACTGTGATAAATGCCTAATTTACACAGAGGAAGGATTTCCAAGGCTCAGAAAAACATCACCAGATAGTGTTCCTTTGCGGGGGGGAAGGAGGGTTGGTTTTTTTCTCTCCTTCGTGCAGCTGTTAGAGTGCAAACCTTGCTGAGCTGTTTCCTTCAATCTTCCCAAGAAATTCAGAGCTACAGTGTTTATCTGAAGTTGTGTGGGAGTTGGTTTTGCTCCTATGACATTTAGCACTACTGTTCTGTGGAAAGAGAACAAACAACATATGTAAAACATCCTGGCTGAAGATAATGATGATTTATGGTATTTTGATTTGGTCTTACCAAATATAGTATGAGAGAATGTGTGCATACGCATAAATGTTTGGGCATAGTTGCTAATTATTTATTGTAAAAATTAAGATAATTTCTCAAGTTTTCATTCAGAACCCTAGACATGCAAGTGTAACACTGAAAGAACAGAATTGTGCATGGTGCCAATTACAAAATATGTAGGAATGTGTTTACTAAAATTTTATGCGAGCCGTGAGTAAGATGATATTTATTACTTTGTCATGAAGTTCCTAGGCCAGGACATACTAAATCATAATGTTTATTGCTGATAGGTAAAACATACTGCAGTGAGAGGGAGTGCAGCTTGGTAATCTTGTTGATAACTGAAAATCATGCAGACTGTGCTAAGTGCTGGGCAAAGCATGGCTGAAATTTTTGAGAGCGTTTTGTTCCGGCCAAAATAAAGGAAACTGATTTATAGTATTTTAATATATCATATCTCACACCAGTCTGCTTTCATAAAAAGCGACAGGCAATTATGTAGAAAAAAACGCTTTGTCTTTGTGTAGTTTATTTGACTTAATTTTCAGCAAGTGGAAAATGGGGAACTGCATAGCTATGGCATCTCAAAGTGTTGCTGCTGTAACCTTCTACTCTTGTAGTCATCAAATACAGAAAGGGCAAGTGGGAACTGTGAAGATGTAAAGAGAACATAAATACTAGGTTGGCATTGCTCTGTTTCATCTGGAGACAGATACAGG